CGTCGTATCGTTTACTACGCGCACGGGGCGTTTCGTGAAATTGACCGTATAACGCGCCGTGAAAATCACGAGAAATATGTATTCGTTATCAACGACGTCGAGTTACGATTGCCTTCGCGATACGTTACTGATCGTCGAAGAGTCGTTTGAATTTTTTAGCTGTACCGTCTCCGCTTTCCAGAATCACGGGAAAAGTTGCTCTTTAGTGAAAATTCTGGGTATATTCTGTGAAACAATGGAAATATACTAAGCTCGCTGAGTGTTTCATTCGAACGTAAACGAACACGGAAAGTATCAATGACATTTAATCTCTTGCGCTGGAAATCAATTCAGAAATTCAACAGTTTCGCGGAAAAATGTTTTTACTTATTTCACGCAAATACACACAATGATTTTGTTTATTAATCATTTTGTACACAGTGATACGTTTCAAAAGAATCTGATAATGCAGCGAACCTCGATATATATATAAAACGTCATTAGCAATTTAGGTGAAATAACATTTGCACGTGTCTGCTACGTCTTTCCAGCGCGAGAACATCAAACCGAATCTTGAAACGTCGCCATCGACGCGCTCGTCAAACTACAACATGAACACCCTTCACCTTCAACCCAGGTCGTCTGGTCGGCGAAACACGTAACATCGATAAAAGGCTCGATCGTTTCAATTAACGGCCCCGTTCAGCGAAAGTATTAGGCCTGTCGTACAGTTTGGCCGTCGCGGGATCAGCCCTGTCGCAACAATAATCTGTCACGGGTAGGCTATTAATTCTTGCGGGAGGCGTCGCGCGCCCCGGCGATTTGTCAACGTCCCCCGTGTAAGTCTTCGCCGCCGCGTGGCGTCATTAAAACACGGATCGAAGGACGGAACGACAGAGCCTGCCGTGAAACCTAATAACTCCGCCGCGGTATCGGGGACACCTGGTACATCGCAATTCCGGACGCTACACGGACCACGCACGTACACAGAGACCACGTATACGTGTGGGACAGGCCGTGGGCGAGACGTCTCAATCCGGTGAAAGCTCGGCTCGCGGGGAACACGGAAAAACGCGGGGCACGGGGGCGGGGCGGCCGTAATCCCGGTCGTCGTCGCGTTTCCCGAATGCGTTGGACGTCCGTTCGGAAGCGGAAAGTTCGCCCGTGGCAAAGATTACCCGTGGCCGCGCCCGCTCGAAGAATCGAAACCCGCCAGGTCACGTCGCCTATTTCGCCCCGGCGACGAACGTGATCCGTTTAATGTCCGGCCCGACGAAATGAACGCTTACTCACCCTAGGTTATGGTTGTCCGAATTGTCCGGCGCGTCCTCCGTCACGGAGTCTTGGGTTAGGGGACCTTGAGTGACGTCGACCCCCATGCTGCACAGATCCAGCGTCGCGTACGTTCTGCGTGCCTGCACCCTCGTGTCGCCGCCGCCGGTCACATCGCCGACTCGGTCGCCGCCGCCGCCGCCGGTCACCTCGCCGCTTCTGTCGCCGTTCCCTAATAACTCCTGGTAGAGCTCATCGTACAGCGAGCTGCCGTTACCGTTACTGTTCAACGCGTCGTCCAGGCGAGCCGGGTCCAAGTGGTAGTTCGGGTTCTCGAACGAGAGCAGACCGTTTTCTGGAAGATTATTGTAAAGGAATTCTCTGGTTAGTCGGCTGTGAGGTTGATCATTCTATGGATTGTTGTCAGTCGGAGAATTTTCTCGAGTCACAGTGTACTAGATGATTGGTCTACGAAAGTGGTAAGCCTCTAGAGTTAACATCTCGAAGGACATTGAAGCCGATACGAGAATGTCTATACAGTGATATGTACGAAACTAATACTGACGACAACACTTCACAATACGAACAAGACATATGCACAACAGCCAATACGAATACTGCGACTAAGGAGTAAGTAGTTCGACTATGTTCTTAGGAAGGATAGCTGAATCGATGATAGAAGTAAGTGTGATTCGACGGGATGATAACGATCATGAAAAATCATATTCTACGTTCAAGACGATTTATTCTTCAGTACCGAGAACTACAGTATACTAAAAGTACTATCGCAAACGTCCCACCGATCCGTGCTGCTTTCATGAAAAAGGACACGAATCGCACGAACGAAATCACCGCGAGATCGATCACACCCGAGCATTCTACTCATTTCAATACCCCGCGCCGCCATCTTCTTACACGATCCATCATGCCCCGCGCGTAAACCGAAACGGACGACGCGCTCAGGTGTTACAACTTCATCCCGTGCCCATTAGCCACGCCGCAACCTGCTATTTCATTTTCAGCCGCGAAAGTATCTTCGACCATCGCTCACGTCATTCGCCCGAAACCGTCTGTCGGTGCGGGTGGTCCCTGTGGTCCGTCCTGCAAAGGACGCGTCTACCGGGGTAGAGTCTACTCGGTGCGACATGCGGTGCAGCGCGTAGAACGTCCGTGGAACGCGAGGAAGCGTGGCGCAGAGGGAACAGGATCGAATAACGTGGAGGGTCAAGGTTCACGGCTATGGAGCGAGAGGTGTGCGGATAGGTGTAGCGAAACGGCGTGGCGTCGAAGGTAAAGCGTGAGACGCGGCCACCGGGAGGCTCTTTAGCCGTTTTACGAGCGGCCGTCGGAGAGGCTCGGGCCGTGTACGAAAAAGCGACAGGAGGCAGCGCGGAACAACCTGGCGGATCGATAGCCCTCGGCCGGTTGGCGTTCGTGGTCGTGGAAGGTGTGCGGCGGCCGACTTTTGCGATAACGAAAGCGTCATAGGCGGTCGGTCCTCGGCGTATCAAGATACAGCTCGGACGGAAATAAATGAACGGGACGAAAATAAGGGAGGCCGAAGAGACGAGACGAGGCGCCGGGCGGAGGGCCGCACGCCGGATCAATCGCCGGGAACTCGCCGCGCTGGCCCCGAGGCTGCCCTCCCGCGTCAAAGGATCGAGAGACCGGCCCGACGAGAGGTTGGATAGACTGTTTGGCGGTGAACAAGCGCAGAGTTGTAGGTTGAAGCTTCGTGAGACACAGGTACACACCCAGAGCTGTCGTGATCGTGTATGTTCTACTCACTGATGCTCCTGAACAAGACGGCAGTCGCTAGAAGCAGGTTGTACAGAAACCGACAGAACGCGTCCATGCCGACGCGTCGACGGTCATATTGTCGCGGGGAATCGTCTTCCCCGGATAATCGTGAAACGACGCCAAGTGTACTTATCGACTAGCTATCGGCACACATAGAAGCGTTAGGGGGTGTGCATGTACAAAAGGAAACCGGCTCAGTGGAACGAGCGTGTGCGAGTCTGGGCTGCCTAAGTCGAATCTCCTTGGCCTCCTTTGTCCCTTCCTTTCTTCCTTCCTTCCTTCTTTCCTTCCTTCCTGCCTGCTTGCCTGCCTGACTGCCTGACTGCTTGCTAGTCTGTCCTCTATCCTTGATGCTCCTATCTATTCAACGTCTACCTATCTCTGTCCCCGTATCGATTCAACCGCGAGCTTTAAAGCCTTGCGCCTCGAGAAGTCGCCGGTTCTCTCGGTCAAAGGGACACGGGTTACCCACCGCGCGATTCCTTCGTCGTAACGTATTTCGCGCGTCTCCGCTCTCCGCTTCGATCTACGACAATTGGATTCGCACCGTTCAGAGCAATGTTCTTTGACCGAGCGGTCGGTTCGTAATTCGATGAGATGTTTCGTTCGCTTGGGAAACCGATTTTTGATGGTGCAACTTCTTTGTTAGAGACTGTCGCGTGACCGGGGATTGAAAAGACGGGGCGGGCTCGATCGGTCGATTGAAATTCAAGCTTTTCCAGGCTGGAATCAACGCTCGACGCTGCTTTTTACGCGAGTCTCGTGAAACAATGGACCCGTTGACGGTCGGGTCCATTAGCCGATCGAGCAGGCCCGGCGAAACCTGTTTCCGCGTCCCTTTGACGACACTTCTGTCGGGTAATTCGACGTTTGTCGCGACCCTCGCCGTTTTCACCGTCCATCGAACGTCGTGATTCGAATCATATTCCCGTGACGAACAAGAGGGTAATCGGCTTTACCCTCTTTCTTTCTCCCAGGCTACAGCGATCGAGGATACTTCTACTGCGATATCCGACCGACCGACCCCGTGTATTATCCCGATCGAAATTCCTGATTGGCCACGGTTATACTCCGTGTCACTGGGGAACGAGCAAATATAGCTAATTAGGTTGCGCTGGAATTTCCGACTTTTAGAAACACGCCTCCAACACATTCGACATCGGAAACTCGATTTACTATTGTTCTCGAATCTATTGTATATCCGTTATAAATTATTTTAAGTTATAAAAATCTCGATTAGAGAACAATTTCCTTACAAAATTCTTCCTGAGGAAATCAAAGAAGAGAATAATACTCTTAATATACACGAGCCACGTGTTTAATTAACCGTACGGACAACGCACAGCTTCAGTTAAATCGAACAATTCCGCGATCGTTAATGTGTAAACGTTGTTTCTACGAACGGAACTTGGCAAGCTAATATTTCGTCCGAGCGAGGCAGCGCTGGCCATAATCCCGGAAGTGTACGAAAGTTGGTCGATTCGGGGGAAACGTTCGTACGGGATGAATCAGCGGCAGGGGTGGCCGGGGTTGATCAAATTGGCCGGCGACGTTGTCCGGTTTGCGTGGCCTGTTAGACGCGTCCAGGAGTCGATAAAGTTAGACCCCCCTCCCTTTTCTTGGACAGCGCCGCACAGCTCCCCGGGTGCATCTCGTTATTTCGCTCGGGAGAAGCCCGAAGGGACCGGGGAACTTCGGGAGTTCGGACGCGGAAGAACAGCTGAAACCTCGGCGCGAAGTTTATCCCGGCTGTCGCCGGCAACTAGAGGAAAAGTTGCGTCGCGAAAGAAGGAGCTCCCCGGAACCGTGGCACGGGGCTTGTCGATAATCCATTAACCGGTTTTCGTGTCGGCCTAACGATTCTGAGGAGTGATACCGAAGGGATTGAAGAATGGCGGGTATCGAGCAACTTCTCTAGCTCCGGCCGTGAATAATGAATGCGTTGAATATTCCATTATGCGGTTTTCATGAGGGATATATGGTCAGAAAGCTATCGGAATAATTGAACGGGCCACTCTATTTTAAGCCTCGCGCAACGTCCCGGTAAATTCGACCCAAAACCGAAGCGTTGTTCTTAATAACGTTGTTCGATACAGAAATGTGTAGATTAATTTGATAAGGATACCTTGTATGCACGATCGTGTTACAGTTCACGTATTTAACTCGAAGGTCTGAATAGGAAATGTTCCGAACGCGGCCTGCATACAAGTAACAATGGAAATAAGGATTCGCGGAGAGAGGTCGACGGAGATTTAGTTAAAAAGTCAAGGGATCGGTAAAGGTGAAGTGTCCATTATCGAGTGGAAAGCAACTTAAAGAATTCGCAGCCGAGGATTAAAGGATTAAGACAACGCTGAGAAGCGAAGAATGCAAGACAGTTCGAGCTGCAGAGTTTCCAAGGAATCTCCTAATTGCTCTCCGGAGTAACGCAATAGTATTCCGCAGTAGTTTCGATGTTCGACTGAAGAAGTCGCTATCTTATGTTCGTTCTACCAGATTATGTCAGGATTGCGGGTAATATCGAATTCGTACGTAACGAAGAACACTTTATAGCTCGTAAAAACAATCTTATAGGATATTTAATTAAGGTCTGGTCGGGGGACACGGTTGGCTGGCAAAAAGACGCCCGTAAGATTTCGTTAATTCCGGAGGGAGGTCGCGGAATGACTCAGCGCGAGGGTGGAGCGCCTGTGCGCGACAAATTGGCTGACGACGTCGTCTTGCCGCATGCTCGTTATAGGTATGACCGACCGGAGTGCAGTTGCAGCCATAGTTGCAGCTGCTGCGGCCTGTTCGAATGAATCTTGTTACTTTCCCGGCGGCCGGGGGTTGGCACGGAGAAAGGGGAGGGCGGAAACTAAATGGTGGGCTTTACACTTTTAGCTTGCCTTTCGCGTTAGTTTCGCTGGATAAGGAAAAGAAAAACGAGGATATAAGGCGCGGAAAAGTTATTCAAACGTTGCTGAAACTCACGGCGCTGCCGGCTCGAACCAGATCCCCTTTCTCCACTTAAGCGCGGATGGACGGATATCGCAAAGAATTTAGTCGGCCGTTAATTACCGCCGCTCCTCCGCGTGTATTTGTGTTCGAGGCTCGGGGAGGCGCGGAGCATTCAGTTGAAAAGTTATAAATATTCAATGCGACCTTAATATCTCCTAACTCCGACGAAATTCTGATGCGGCTAATTATTGTGATTTCTTAACGCGCGTACTGACTGAAGACCGAGAACGAAGTGCTATCGATGCGGAAATCCCTGTTAACTCTCCGAAGATCGTATAAATAACCGTCGCCAAATGAACTGCTAATAAACACAGAAGAGTATCAGTTTCATGAATATTCCGAGAAATCCACATTCGACCATTCACAGGCTAATTATTACTAACGTCCGCGAGCAGCGATTGTAATCGAATCGAGTACGAAATTCGGCCGAACCGATCGTATCAATATCAATTAAATCGGTCTCCGGCGGCGAGAGTTCTCACATCGGAAATCCATACGCGGCCACCAACAAAAATCCGCATTGCGGGACACAGGGAACCATGAAAACACACAAGT